GCCAGGGCGCCGCCAGCCTGGGGATCGGGCTGCAGCTGCCCCAGGACCAGCAGTGCCCGGAGCCCGGCCGCAGGCTGCGGGGCTTCCGCTGGGTCACGGGCGATGAGAGCACGGACTACGCCAACTGGAAGCCGGGCGACCCCAGCTGCGGGCCCCAGTGCGTGGCCGTGGCCCCGGACCTCTTGTGGGAGGCGAAGCAGTGTGACTCCGAAGCAGACGGCTTCCTGTGTGAGTACAATTACCCCGGCACGTGCCCCAAGCTCTCCCCGGGGGCAGGCCTGGTGGTGACCTACACCACCCCCTTCGGGGTGCGGGACAGTGACCTCCTGGCCCTCCCGCCCCAAAGCACGGCCTCGGCCCCTGGCCTGGGCGTGGAGCTGGTGTGCCAGGAGCACAGCAGCGGGGGCTGGCGATGGAGCTCAGCCAGCCGGGGGGCCTGGCACTGCCAGCTGGAGAACGGGGGCTGCGAGCAATCGTGCCAGTGGGACGGCGGGAGCCCGCGCTGCGCCTGCCCCCAGGGGGAGCAGCTGGAGCAGGACGGACGCGGCTGCTCTTCCCTGTGCGCCAACGCGCCCTGCGAGCACTTCTGCACCCCGGACACGGGGAACTTCACCTGCATCTGCTCCGAGGGCTACGAGCTGGCGGGGGACGGCGTCCATTGCAAGGACATTGATGAATGTGAAGCCACGCCGGGCGTCTGTGAGCAGGTTTGCACCAACACCGACGGGGGCTTCCACTGCGAGTGCCACCCGGGCTACGAGATGGTGGACGGCAAGTGTGAGGACGTGCTGGATTGCGAGGAAGGCAAGTGTGAGTACAAGTGTGAGGATGTGCCAGGCGGCTACAGCTGCAGCTGCTTTGATGGATTCATTACAGACCCCCCTACAGCTGCAGCTGCTTTGATGGATTCATTATACACCCTGAAAACCCGCACAAATGTGCCAGATTTTGTAACCAGACAGAATGCCCAGCAGACTGTGACCCCCACACTCTGGATAGTTGTTACTGCCCCGACGGCTTTATTCTGAACGAGGGTGACAGGGGTGAAAAGACCACACTCTGGATAGTTGTTACTGCCCCAACGGCTTTATTCTGTACGAGGGCGATGGGGGAGACAAGGTGTGTCAGGATGTGGACGAGTGTGAGCAGGGCTATTGTGACCAGCTCTGCACGAACGAGCCAGGCCACTACAGGTGTCACTGCCAGGAGGGGTACGTCCTCTCTGACCAGCGCACGTGTTCTCCTGAGGAGGAGTCGTCAGGTGAGACGGAGCCCTACCCCAAAACAGTGGCTCCCACCCGCGCCCCACCAAAGGCAGACAGCCTCCACCCCGGAGCGCTGATCGGAATCAGCATGGGCATCCTGGCCACGCTTTTGGCCCTGCTGGCCATTCTCTACCACCTGGTGAAGAAGCACTGCCCGGCCCGCGGCACCATGGATTATAAATGCAGCAAGAGCACGGAAAAGGAAGTGGTGCTGCAGCAAGTTACCCCCAGGTGCCCTTCTGCCAGCCAGAAACTGTGACAAATCCCATGGGGCCGAAAGCAAAGGGATG